TCCGGCAAGAAAGGGACAGGGAAAGCAGTGTGTATGAGCTCATATCCCACTGGCCAGAACTTATTTTATTTTTTTTATCCTCACCCGAGGATATTTTTCCATTTTTTTGTACAGATAGAGTGGGAGGGAGAGAGAGAAAGAAACATCGACGTGAAGGGACACATCGAGTGGCTGCCACCCACACAACCAACCAGGGCTGGGGACAAACTGCAACCGAAGTACGTGCCCCTAGCGGGAACCGAACGCAGGTCTCTCCGGACCGCAGGCCAACGCTCTAACCGCTGAGCCAAACTGGCCAGGGCCCCAGTGGCCAGAACTTAGCCACATAACCATACCTCATTGTAAAACTGGTTAGGAAATGTACATTTTATTATGAATGGTCATGTGCCCAGCTAAACTCCAGCATTTCTGCTATCGAAAGAAAAAGGGGGAATAAATACTGAGGAAACTGGCAGGTTTTGCATACTTTTTTAAAGGATAAGACAGAACTTAAGAGAAATGTTTGGAGACTAGGCAGACCTGAGTTCAAGATTTAGCTCTGATGTTGCTTAGTTGTGTGCCCTTGGGTACATTTACTTAACTTTTCCAAGCCAGTTTCCTTGGCCTTAAATAGGGAATTATACTTCCCAATGTTGTTGTAAGGAGTAAGTTAAAGAAAACATTTTTAAATACTTAGCACAGTGTCTGGAACATACAGCCTGTAAGTGGGGATGATGATGATGATAGCATTAGTCCCTTTTTCTATAATCCCATAACACACTAATCCATCTGATATTTCTCTCTCTCTCCTTCCCACTCTCTCTGAAGATAAATGTAAAAATATCTTCGGGTGAGGATTAAAAATACAAAAAACAAAAGATACACCTTACTCTCTTGCCTCAGGGCCTAGAATATAAAATATAGAACAACTACAAATGGACAGCAGTTTATGTTGCCTCTGTTTCATCTTCCGACACCTTCTTCTTGGCAATTCGTTGATTCTTGGGATGCTATTATGCCGAGACTAAAGGCAGGACAACAGCCGAGGGCAAGTATGTAAGTGGTCTTGGGAGAAGTGACCTAACACTATACAAATACGAAAGACAATATTATTTTTATTTCTGTCAAATAAAAATCACTCCAAACAGCCCTGGCTGATTTAGTGATTAGAGCATCTGCCTGTGGACTGAAGTGTCGCGGGTTCAATTCATGGTCAAGGGCTTGTACCTGGGTTGAAGGTTTAATCCCTGGCCCCAGAAGGGGTCATGTAGGAGGTAGCCAATCAGTGTTTCTCTCTCCCCCTTAGTCTCCACCTTCCTCCCTCCCTTCCACTCTATCTAAAAAAATCAATGGAAAAATATCCTCCAACAAAGATCAACAACAACAACAAAAAAACATTCCAAACACTCTGAAGCTTTTTACATTCAACAGAATAATGCAGAGCCTTTGAAAGAATAATGAGATCTACATATTGAGACACAGTAGTAGGTCAGGAAATAAATGCTCTGAAATGTGATCCCTCACTGCCATGAGTCAAGCTGGGACTTACATATGAGAGAAAAAAGGAAGGTATCATCCCATAAAGGGGAAGGAGCATGTGCAAAGGCACAGAGGCATGAGACAGCATGGGTGTATGAGAAATGTGCCTGAAGCATACGGTACAAAAAGAAAAGTCATTGAGAAGGAGGATGATTCCATGCTTTGAGAGACTTGGAATCCCATGGTTTGTCATCCCCCATGTTGCCACTCAAGAGGAAGCTTCGTTTTCATCTCCCCTGTCACTCAACTCCTTGGAGAAGCAACAAGGACATGGTCACGGGATGGAGAATGGAAAATAACTGAGCCATTAAACAGTATTGCCAAGGAAAGCTGAGATGGGTAGGTATGAATTTTCCTTCCAAAGGTTCAGGGGTCTTACGACTGAGTGTGGAACCTTTGGAAAGATGAGTGAAGAGATTATACCAGCAGAAATGGGACAAGGGGTGGGTACTTCGTGCATGAGAATTAACTCTCATCTCAGGGATGTGGGGCTCAAAAGAGTACAGGGCCCAGCCTGAGACTCAGAGAGGAAAAAATGGGAATCTGGCTACTTACTGTTTTTTCCAGATTCTAGGCTTAAGAAGAGAAAGGGGGGCACAAGATGCCACATAGCTTTTCCAGTCCAGTTCCTCAGTGGGGTAAAGGAGACAGGGACTTGGAACAGAGCCTCTGAAAGCTGGCAAATAAGAGCCTTCATTGTGTTGTCCCATCCAGGAAGTAAGGAGCCTGCAGCAGCTTCCACCACTACCCAGCACTACTGTGCTAGCCATCCTAGAAAAATGAATGACACCAGAGAAAAGCCTATACCGCAAATAAACGAAGCATTGCTTCCTTCAAGAAACCAAGGTCATCTGGAGCCAGCTGTTTGCAGATAGTGGGTTGTGTTTGCCAGGTCTGATTTACAAAACCTCAGGGCAGCTTCAATAACCACGTTCAGTTAAGCTCAATCAATATTACTGTCCTCTATTTGATGCCAGGCCCTGTGCTGAACACATAAGATACAGAACAAATGAGACATGGCCTCTACCCTTAGAGAGCTCACCATCTAGAAGGGAAGGTCGTCATCAAAACAGGTGGTTAATACAGAGCAGTAGGCCCCAGGACAGAGGAAGCACAGGAACTCTGGAAACTCATGGTAGGACAAGTAACTCAGTACAAGGAACCCTGGAGGAAGGTTGCTCAGAAGGGAAGATCCATTTTTTTTCCATCCTCATCCTGCTTCTCACTGAGATTTAAAGGTTGAAGATGTATTAACCAAATGAAAAAGGAGAGGTGGTGTCCCAAGCAGAGAGAACAGCATGTGAGAGGCCTTGAAACAGTATGGTGATTTGGATGAAAAGCAAGAGGCCCAATGCAGTTAAAGCATGGTATCCAAGAGATGGGGGAAGAAACTGGAGAGAAAGATGGGAACAGATGGCTCTAAATATGGCATTAAACTTCCTTTTATACTAAGCTAAGGAGTGTGTCGGAGCATGGCAAGTGCAGAAAATTATCTTAAGATGGAGTATCCCAAAACATTAAAAAAACCAAAAGAACACCCCCCCCAACAAAACCAATTTCATTTCCTGCTAATTTATGTGGGACTTTTAGAAGAGGGACATCCTAAAATGAAACAACTCCAACAACTACTGAAAGGTGTCACAACTCAGAAAAAGTATAAATCACTCCTTCTGAATTTTATAGCACTTTATTTTATTTACTTAATTATTTTAGAGAGAGAGAAACATCGATTTGTTGTTCCACTTATTTATGCATTCATTGGTTGATTGGTTGATGTATGTTCCCTGACAAGGGATCAAACCCACAGCCCTGGTGTACTGGGACAATGCTCTAACCAACTGAGCTACCTAGCCAGGGCACTTAATAGCAGTTTATGTATTTATTTTTAATATTTTTTCTTTATTGACTTTAGAGAGAGAGGAAGGAAGAGGGAGAGAGAGATAGAAAAATCAATGAGAGAGAACATTGATTGGCCACCTCCTGCATGCCCCCACACTGGGGATTGGGTCTACAGCCTGGGCATGTGCCCTGACCGGGAATCGAACCAGCAACCTCTTGGTGCATGGGTCAATGCTCAACCACTGAGCCACAATGGCCAGCTTAATAGCACTTTATATCTTCCTTTTAGCACTTGTCACTTTCTCCTTGGGAGCGTATTCATCTGTGTCTTATCTCTCATGGTTTACCAGCTCTCTCTGAGCATGAACTAGGTGTCGTTCATTCATCCTATAAAATTTTATTGCAACCCAGTCTGAATAGGCAAGTCACCCTCAACAGTGCCTAGCACATAGATGTTCAATTAATAGTTCACAGCATCATGGAGTTACATGATACCAAAGCTGAAAGACTAAAAGATACTCTAATCCAGAGTTTCTCAACCTTTTTGAAGAGCTTGAAAAAAGCCACAGACTCTCTTCTCAGAAAAATTCACACATAGAAAACATTTTACATAAAATTTCAGCACTCACCGTGCCCAGAGGAGTAAGGTTAACTTATCCAAAGTCACAAAGCTAATGAGTTGCAGAACCAAGCCTAGAAGACAACTTTTCTGGTTCCCAGTTATGTACTCTTCCCGATACAAACAATTTTAGTTTGGCTGTTTTTGCAGGGAGGCTGCCTAATACATGCCTCGGACATGGCAGTGTTCCTCTGGTGAACTTCCTTGATTATAAGGAGGATACACAGGAAAACATGACAGGTTGAGTGGATTCTAAGGCCCATATATAGTGGTATTGAACTTCTGCCAAGGAGAGAGAGGCAATGGAAGATGTGCATGGTTACATGGGAACATTAAAATAAGCCCAAGAACCAAAAGTGATCTGATGACTCCTTAAGTTGAACAGCAAAATCTTCTTAATTGTACTGTTTACAGGAAGTAATAGAATTGTGACTCAAAGCCAGACCTTCTGACTTTCAGGCCAGTGTTGGGTTCACTCCTCCAGAAAAATCCTCTGTACATGCACAGAAATCTAACTACCCAGAAGCAATCCTGCGGCTGGAGCCAGAGAAATATGCGAAATAACCTTATAATGCTTAGAACTAACTCCCAGTTATCTGTGATAATGCATTCAAGGAGCACATACATACATATTTTATATCTGTAAATACAATAAAACTCAGCTAGTTTGATGAAAATGTCAGTCCACCTCTACTAGTCACCATTCACACACCTAAACTGAATGTATCATTTCTGTTCTGAGGTCCATACTGAACTAAGTACTAGGAATATACATATTTTTAAAGTATCACAAATAATAATACTAAACCATTTGGTTTTCACTGTGATAGCGTGGCCTAGGGACAAGATTGGGAACTGGCAGAAACATCACTCTGGATAATATCCGAACTAAGTAACTGGAGAGGACTGAGGGATGACTCCTATTCTTTCTCGCTCCAATATTAGCCAACATATGCAAATCTGATCCTTGGTGTTTGCAAAAGCTATACACTCTCCTTTTCTGAAGGACCCCTGCCTCCTTTACCTCTTGTGCTTTAATTAGGTGCTTGTATCTTCCAATGCCATGGGTGGGCTTTGTCTTGTAGTGCCGACTGGTACTCAGCAGAATGCCACCTAAAAGAAAAAAAAATAAGACAAACCTGTTTCAAAGCTCCTCCAGGGACAGATCACACATGAGGAGATAAATTCTCCATTGTAAGACTGGGACTATTTGAGGGTAGCCAGCCTCTTATTGGTTTAAGGAACCAGAGCTATTTTTTTATCCTGGGCTGACTCTCAGTTTACACTCCTGTTTCTCTCCTTTTGGCCACCGGACTATATCCAATCCCCACTACCTATCTTTCACTGAGAAATTCCCTCCTGCTAGAGTCACTTGTGGTATAGGGACAAAACGCACTCTCACAGCGTTCTTATTTCCTCTTGTCCCTCAACAGGCAGTACTTCTTTTGAAGTTTTCTACTGCAGATTGTACAGAGAAAGTGACAGGTGGCAAAAATAACTAGGTAAGAGGACAATCATAGATTTCTACAAAGTTTTAAAAACCATCTAATTTGATTTATTTGTGCTGATAGGAAACAATCTCTAACATACATTGTTAAGTGATTAACAATAAGAACAGAAACCTACTATACAGTGTGTATGTATACTACTACTATGTATAAATAGAATCTCCATATACATCTTCCTTATGTTAATCCAGAGATGTGCCACTGAGATCCCCCTTCAAGGAAGGACTTGCTGATATATACAAATTTTCCTTTAATCTTCATTATTTTTATCTTCATTTACAAATAAAGAAACTACAGTTAAAAAATTATGGTGAATTGGCCAAAACCAACCAGCAAATAAAAGGCAGAACTGCAACTGAAATCCAGGTCTATCTGACTGGACATTTTATGCTCAGATGTGTTTATAGATTTGAATTTCTGGAACATAAAATCTAGCTAAATCTGATCTTTCTTAGCTCCAATCTCAGTTCCTTACCTCTACCCTTTCACTGGAACCAGCCCTACCCAGCTCTGCTATGTCTGTCTGTCCCTCTTGCTCGCTGCCTACCTCCTAGAGAAGTACTACTCCTAGTACTCTCCCTTCCCTCCCAGCTCCTGTGGTCCTGCTGTCATCTTCCCAGGGTCATCACTCTGGGTTGGGGATGGGGGGAGGCTAAACACATCATGGTGTAGAGCAGTCTAATGACATCTGGAGGAATGTTTCTTAAGCTTTTCTTTTCTAAAATGGGCTCCCAAGCAAGTTCACTCTGTGCCAGGCCAATTAGAGATTGGCTTCAGAGTCAATTCTATATTTACAATCACACTATATCATCCAGACAACCCTGGGATATGCATTAGTCCTATAATATGCATTAGTTCACATTTACTATTACATGCCAACAACTGCATACACACTAGGACAAAGATGACTAAAATATGCTACTTTTCCCAGAGATACTCAGTGTGGGAAAGCAGATAATTATCTTAAGGTGTACAAAATACTTTAATGGAGGTGAGAGCAAGGTAGTGAGTTCTCAGAGGAAGAAACAACCAATTCTGCCTTGAGGGTGTCAGTGGGGAAGGGTGCAGGGGAACAGGTTCAGAAGAGGTGAAAGCTGCATCCTTGGAAAAGGAGTAAGAGTTTACCACACGAGGAAGAAGGAGGTATTTTTGGCAGAGGTCCCCAAAAGAGCACTGAACATAACTGAGGTGTGTTCTTGGCCACTGTACCAATTCTGTCTCTCTGAATGTAAGACCTTGGACCCTTTGAGCCTTCGGGTTCCAACTCTGCAACCTGGGACCCAACCCAAGGAGCTGATACTCAAATCCTCTTGATGGGTACACAATGATCCTCAGACCAAAGCCTTGCAAATTAATCTTATCCAGCAAGCTTTCATCGTGACCTCAAAATAAGACCTCGAAAAAGCACCAACTCTTCAAAGCATGTTCAGTCACTTAATAAATATATTTTATTTCCCATCAGGGTAGCCAGCAACAATTATACCCTCACAGCTACGTGAATGACACACACTAGAGCTGTGCAGTGTGTAACCAACCCAGTATCTATAGCAGGACTGTTGCCCTAGAAGCTGGGGCTATAACAATGGACAAAGACAAAGTTTCTGCAATAAAGAACCTATGATCACCCTGGCCGGTTTGGCTCAGCAGTTAGAGCGTCGGCCTGCAGTCCAGAGAGACTCAGGTTTGGTTCCCACTAAGGGCACATATCTCAGTTGCAGTTTGTCCCCGGCCCTGGTTGGGTCATATGGGTGGCAGCCACTCAGTGTGTACCTTTCACGTCGATGTTTCTCTCTCTCTCTCTTCCTCTCTCTCCCTCCCACTCTATCTGAACAAAAAAATAAAAAAATCTCCTTGGGTGAGGATAAAAAGAAAAAAAGAACCTATGATCTAGCGGGGAAACAGTAATACCAATGCAGGGTGATACAGCTATAAATGGGAGGGGCACTGAGGCTAGACTTGAGGTGTTGTGAAAGGATTCTTAGAGCAGGTGGCTTCTAAGTAAAACCTGAAGGATGACTCAGAGTTAGTGAGGAGCCCGGCCAGTGTGGCTCAGTGGTAGAGAGCATCAACCCACGCACCAAGAGGCTGGCGGTTTGATTCCCAGTCAGGGCACATGCCCAGGCTGTGGGCCAAATCCCCAGTGGGGAGGAGCATGCAGGAAGCGGCCAATCGACGTTCTCTCTCATCGATGTTTCTATCTCTCTTTCTCTCCCTTCCTCTCTCTCTAAAATCAATAAAGAAAAAAGAGTTAGTGAGGAGAGAACATGGTATGGGGAAGGGAAGAGCCAGAGAGAATTTCAAGGCAGAACATAAGGAGCAGTGTGGCATGATGAGTTTACAGAAAAATGGCAAAGTTTAGGAAGGGTTTAATTTTCAAATACTTATGATGTACCAGGCACTGTGCTAAGAGCTGGGGATATAAAAGTAGACAAGGCCCAGCCAGTGAGCATCATCCCATGGCCTGAGAAGTCCCAGTTCAATTCCCAGTCAGGGCACATGCTAGGGTTGTGGACTCGATCCCCAGTAGGGGGCGTTCAGCCGATGGATGCTTCTCTCTCACACCAATGTTTCTATCTTCCTCTCCCTTCCTCTCTTTCTAAATGCTTTCTTTTTTTTTTTTTTTTTTTGGTACTAGCGGTAACCGAATCTGGGACTCTCTGGTCCGCAGGCCGATGCTCCAACCGCTGAGTCAAACCGGCCAGGGCCCTTCCTCTCTCTCTAAAAAAAATCAATAAAACATATTTAAAAGTAGACAAGGCCGCCCAGGCCAGATTGCTCAGAGGTTAGAGCATCGGCCCACGGACCAATGAGTCCTGGGTTCGATTCTGGTCAAGGGCACGTACCTCGGTTGCAGTTTGTCCCTGGCCCTAGTCAGGTGTGCGGGAGGCAACCAGTCAATGTGGCGCTATCACATCAACGTTTCTCTCTGTCTCTTTCCCTCTCTCCCACTCAATGTGATAATAAGTAGAAAAATATCCTCAGGTGAGGAATAAAAACAAAATAATAAAAATAAAATAAAAGTAGACAAGGCCAACAAAACTCCACTTATGGAGCTGAAAGTCTAGAGGGAGGAAGGTATCATTAATGAAATAGTCACAAAATAAATATAAAATTAAAAATTGAGATAAATAATAAGGTGAAAAAGCATAAAGGGCTATAGAAATACAATCGGCAGATCTATTCTACATTGGAGTATCCGGGAAGGCCTTTCTGAAACAAAGACATGTGAACTGAGACCAGAATTCAGAGGGAAACAATAATAGTGGTTATCCCCAGGAAGAGAAAGTGGCTAGAAGGCAGGAGGAAAGGGACATTTACTGTCAATTTTATACTCTTTTAAAACTTGGTCCATGTACATGTATTACCTATTCAAAAAATAAATAAAATAAATTGAGACCTGAAAGGCAAATAGGAGCTTATTAAATGAAAAGATAGAGTATGAATGTTTCAGGCAGAGGAAATAGCATGTGTAAATGCTCTAACATGGGACACAGCTTTGGCACATTCAAGGGACAAAAAGACTGTCAGTGTGGCTGATACAAAGTAAGAAGGGCACGGAGAGCACCAGAGAATAGACCAGTAAGTCGGAACATACCACACTGGGCCTTGTTAAGGGTTTGGATTTCAGACTGAGCAGCCATAAGCAGGGAAATTATGTGTCTGATATGTTTCTAAAAGATCACTTTGGCCCTGGCCCATTTGGTTCAGCGGTTAGAGTGTCAGCCCATGGACCAGAGAGTCCCGGGTTCAGTTCCCGCTAAGGGCACGTACTTCGGTTGCAGTTTGTCCCCGGCCCCAGTTGGGGTTGTGTGGGTGGCAACCAGTTAATGTGTCTCTCTCACCATCGATGTTTCTCTCTCTCTCTTTCTCTCTCCCTCCCGCTCTATCTGAAGATGAATGCAAAAATGTCCTCAGGTGAGAATTAAAAAAAAAAGATCACTTTGGTTGTTGTGTGGAAAAGGGAGTAGGGAGAGGGAGTGTGGATGGAAGGGATAGGAGATTCAAGTGGTAGCCTTGGCTAAGTTATTGTTAGTGATCTCAAAGTATCCACATCCCCCTCTCTAGAGCTTACAAATTAATCCTTCTAAAATACAGACCTAATCAAGTTATTCTCTTTCATTAACTCAACCATTTATTCATTGCACACACACAATTTTTTAAAAAGTACTTATTATGTGCAAAGCACTATACCAGTCACTACAGACACACTAATGAATGAGACAGGGAAGGTCTTCGCCATTTTTTCAAAATGTTTGATGGCTTTCCACTGCCCAAAGTTAACACTCCTTAAGTAAGCATTAAAGAGCCTTGATTTCATAATCTAGTTCTAACTGCTTCATCTCCCCATTCTCCCATTCCTCCAGGCCTTTAAAACCTTGTTCCTCAGCAACAGCTACACTTGCCATTCTGTAGAAACCATGCAGTTTTCATGCCTCTCTGTCACCCTGGGCAGTCCCCCTGCTGGGACTGCACTTCTTAGCCCACTGAAATCCTACCAGCCTCCAAGGCCAGCTCAAATGTCAGTCTCTGGGAAACTCTTCTGTTGCCCTAAACATACAAAGATCACCAAGAATTTACTTCATAAGTCTCTCATACTTCCATTACGGAGTGGGCAAAAGTAGGTTTACAGTTATTTATATGGAAAATTATACAATAATAAATAACTGTATAAGAATAAACTGTTCCACATACTCATAACTGTAAACCTACTTTTGCTCACCCCTGTTCACAGTAAAATCTTTTGTGTAAATAAAAAGAAAACTCAGATGCCAGTCACCATCTTTAAGTACATAGAAACTCAATAACCCTCCAGTGGTTTCAAAAAGCAGGACCGAAAGTCATGTTTGAGATGATGCTGTATCTCAGGTGAAAGTGTCCAAAAGGCTTGTTGTGACCTCTCATCTACTGGAATTCCTTGGCAAGGAGGCATTTTCAAATTCAGTTTGGGGCAATTCCTATCATTAGGGCAGCTGGTTAATTAAGAAGCTGATTCAAACCACTGTTACATTAACCATTTTCTTCCTTAAATGAAAGGTTTTGATCAAATTATCAGTGGTTAAACTGCTTGATTAGCCAGTTGTTTTAATTATAAAATTTACAAGTATGAAAGCCTTTGATTTCTGATGAGTTCAACTGACTTTTCCCCCAGCTTTGAGTCATTAAGCTGGGTTTCCTGCTGTCACATTAACATTGCAGCCTCCTGAGAGAAAAGGCAACGCTTTTCACTGAAGAAGACACAAAACCCCATGGTTTCAAAAGGAGACTTTGAAAATCTTTCAATTAGCACAATTATAGGATGTAATTACATATTGGCTTCTCCCATATCACACCCCTGCCTGTATATATGCCACAGCCTACCGTCCTTCGTTGTCCTTGTTTACTAAACTGGATACTAACCCAATCAACCCAGGATGGGGATAAACAAATTCACTTTAATTCTCCTTCAAAATTGGAACAAGTATTTTTAGTAGGGCTATGCACCAGCCAAGAATTAATTACAGGATATTCTTTTCATTCAACAGACTGCAAGTCCCTGATACACCCTATCCAGCCCCTGGCAAATATATATATATATATATATATATATATATATATATATATATACACACACACACACACACACACACACACACGGGCAAAAATAGTTTTACAGTTGTTTGTATGAAAAATAATAGATTGATAAATAATAATACAAGAATAAATTATGTTTCCCATACTTACAACTGTAACCCTTTTTTTTTCAATCCTAACCTGAGGATATGTTCTTTATTGATTCTAGAGCGACAGGAAGGAAGAGGGAGAGACAGAAACATTGATGTGAGAGAGAAACATCAATTGGTTGCCTCCCGTGTGCACCCTGACCAGGATCAAACCTGCAACCTGGGTGTGTGCCCTAACCAGAATTGAACCTGAAATCTTTCAGTGTATGAAACTATGCTCCAACCAACTGAACCACACTGGCCAGGGCTGTAAACCTACTTTTGCCCCAGTGTGTGTGTGTGTGTGTGTGTGTGTGTGTATGTTTAAGGTTCTTGAGATAGTTTACCAAGACAATCTGCAATGATCTGGCAGCTACCTACTGTTTTTTCCAGAATCTCTTTTCAAACTTTTTTTAGCTTTTCTAATTACACTGAACTACTTGGACTGCAATGTACCATGTTTATCTGACAACCTTTTTGCTTATGCTGTAATGAGAAGACTCTGAGTTCTCTTCACTTAACCTCTTTATAAATATTTACTTCCTCTCTATGTATGTTTAAGTCATAAAGAAAAAGGTGTTCACTATAATCAGGTCCAAGCCTTGGAGAGAGCAGCTCGGATGGTTCCCAGGACCCACAGAGAGAGTATGATAGATGAAGGTAGGAATAGGACACTGCTCCCTACTCTTTTTTCTCTGAACATCATTATAATTTAATTTTGAAATTTCTGACTTTAAAGATATCTTAAAGAGCCCACGAAAAATGCCAACTCTTCAAGAAGAATTAATTATCTTGCATTGATGACATTGGTACGTTACCCTGAGCCTTGGAGCCTTCTAGACACTGGGATTCCCTAACAATTAAAAAATGGGCAGCCCTGGCCGGTTTGGCTCAGCGGTTAGAGCGTCGGCCTGCGGTCCGGAGAGACCCGGGTTCAGTTCCCACTAAGGGCACGTACTTCGGTTGCAGTTTGTCCCCGGCCCTGGTTGGTTGTGTGGGTGGCAGCCACTCGATGTGTCCCTTCACGTCGATGTTTCTCACTCTCTCTCCCTCCCATTCTATCTGTACAAAAAATGGAAAAATATCCTCGGGTGAGGATAAAAAAAAAAAAAAAAAAAATGGGCAGCCCTGGCCGGTTTGGCTCAGCGGTTAGAGTATCGGCCTGCGGACCAGAGAAGCCTGGGTTCAGTTCCCGCTAAGGGCACGTACCTTGGTTGCAGTTTGTCCCCGCCCCGGTTGGAGTCGTGTAGGTGGCAGCCAGTTGATATGTCTCTCTCACATCAATGTTTCTCTCTCTCTCTTCCTCCCTCTCTCCCTCTCACTCTATCTGAAGATAAATGCATAAAAGAATGTACTCAGGTGAGGATAAAAACAAAAAAAATTTTTTTTAAATGGGCAAAGGAATCCAGCCAGCGTGGCTCAGTGGACTGAGCATCGTCCCATGGACTGAGAGGGTCCCAGGGGGATGCCTGGTCAGGGCATCTGCACAAGTTATTGGCTCAATCCCTAGTAGGGGGTGTGCAGGAGGTAGCCATCGATGTGTCTCTCTCTCTTCAATGTTTCTCTCTCTCTCTCTCTCTCTCTCTCTCTCTCCCCCACACACTCCCTCCCATGTATCTGAAGATAAATGAAAAAATATCCTTGAGTGAAGAGTAAAAAAACCCTCAGAATTAGGTAGCTATCAAATACTAAAATATACTATAAAACTATAGTAACCAGTAGTATTAAAACAGCTTGGTACTCGCATTAAGTATACAGACAGATCAATGAAATAAAACAAAGTTAAAATAGTCCTGGATCTATATGGAAATTTAGCATATGACAAAGGTGACATTTTCAAACCTATGGGGAAAAGATGGATTAAAAAAATAATTATAATGCTTCATAACTTAAAAAAAATTTTTTCCCTTTATTGTTTTGAGAGAGAGGGGAAGAGAGAGGGAGAGAGAGATAGAAACATCGATGAGAGAAAATATCAACTGGGCCCCACTGGGGATCAGGCTCACAACCTGGGCATGTGCCCTGACCAGGAATCGAACTGGCGACCTCTTGGTACATGGGTCGATGCTAAACCACTGAGCCATACCGGCTGGATTTGCATGTCATCCTTGCGCAGAGGCCATGCTAATCTTCTCTGTATCATTACAGTTTTAGGATATGTGCTGCCAAAGCGATCACTAAAAGATGGATGTTTTAATGTTGAAACAACTGACTACTCATTTTGGGGGGAAAATTGCATCCCTACCCATTTCTAATTCCAGATGGACCATGTATTTAAAGGGAAAAAAAATACAAGAAGATAACATGAAAGACTTTTTTAAAAATTTTGGTGTACAGATCTTTCTAAGCACCAAACAAAATCTAGAAATTAAAAATAAATTTATCTGTATAAAAATGTTAAACTTCTGTTTAACAAAAAATACAAAAATAAAGTCAAGGGACAGATGACTGGAAACAATACAAAGCATATAACAGAAAAACGCTAATTTCCTTAGTATAGAAAAACTATATAAAAAGTTCTTACAGATCAAAAGTGAAAAAGCAAACAATCTAATATGAAAATCAGCAAAAAATATAAACAGGCAGTTCACAAGGAAAGAAATATAAATGATTAATAAAACTATGAAAAGATGACAAATTCAAGAAATGCAAATTACAAGGAGACAGTTTTTCTTTTTTTTTCTTTTTTATTTTTTTATCCTCACCTGAGGACATTTTTCCATTTTTTGTACAGATAGAGTGGGAGGGAGAGAGAGGAAGAGAGAGAGAGAGGGAAACATCGATGTGAAAGGGACACATCGAGTGGCTGCCACCCGCACGACCAACCAGGGCCGGGGACAAACTGCAACCGAGGTACATGCCCTTAGCGGGAACCGAACCCGGGTCTCTCCGGACCACAGGCGGACGCTCTAACCGCTGAGCCAAACCGGCCAGGGCAGAGACAGTTTTTCACTAGCAAAAAAATAAGATGTTTTCTAAAATCCAGTTTTGGCCAGAAAATAGAAATGTAAATTAACACAACTTATCTGAAGGGCAATAGTTACGAAAATTTTCAATTCACAATTCATTGACTCGGCAATTTCAATTCCAGGAGTTTATCTTACAAATGTACAGGAACAAGTTCACAAAAAAGTATGAAAATAGTTGCTGCAGTGTTTTTTAAAATAGCAAAAACTAAATACAACCTAAATGTCCAGCTTTAAGATACAGTCAAACATGCCCGGTCAGTGTGGCTCAGTGGATTGAGCATCAGTGTCCCAGGGACTGAGAGGTCCCAGTTCAATTTCCAGTCAGGGCACATGCCCCGGTTTCAGACTCAATCCCAATAGGGGGCATACAGGAGGCAGCTGATGGATGTTTCTCACATCAATGTTTCTATCTCTCTCCCCCTAAAAAAATCAATGAAAACATATTTTTAAAAAGATATAGTCATACATATACATTACATATATGTGTTCATACGTGCACAAAACTTTTGAAATATATAGGAGAAATTGCTACTGGTGGATACTACTGGGAAATAGAAGAAAATTCAACTTTTTATCATATACCTTTTTGTACAGTTTATTTTTACCATACACATCCATATGAATGCATCTGAGACTTAAAATTTTTTTTTCTTTATTTATTTTAGAGAAAGAGAAATAGAAACATGAATGAGAGAGAACATCAATTGGCTGCCTCCTGCATGCCCCCCACTGGGGATTTGGCCCACAACTTGGGCATGTGCCTTGACCAGGAATCAAATGAGCGACTTCGTAGTGCATTGGTGGATGCTCAACCACTAAGCCACACCAGCCAGGCCATTTAAGACTTTTTAATAGTTGATAATTTTAATACTAATTAAAAAAAAAAAACTTCTTCAAAATATATAACAGTTCAAAATAAACTTTGCCTCTGGTTGAGAGGTAAGGGATGAAACCACAGCTAGGGAATAAGACTTGAATATAATCCTTTCTTTTTAAATGCAAAGAGAAAGAGAAAGTATAACAAAATATTAATAATAGCCAAATCTGCATTTATTTGACAAATTATATTTTTTACTTTTCTACATTTTTTATGTCTTTCCAAATAAAAAGTATAATTAAGTGTAATTACGCCCTGGCCGGTTTGGCTCAGCGGTTAGAGCGTTGGCCCGCAGACCAGAGAGTCCAGGGTTCGGTTCCCACTAAGGGCATGTACCTTGGTTGCAGTTTGTCCCCAGCCCCGGTTGGGGTCATGTAGGTGGCAGCCAGTTGATGTGTCTCTCTCACATCAATGTTTCTCTCTCTCTCTTCCTCCTTCTCTCCCTCCCACTCTATCTGAAGATAAATGCAAAAATGTCCTCCTGTGAGGAAAAAAATTTTTGTAAAGTATAATTAAGAGAGAAATACCCATTAAATAAAACCTTTCCTGGGCGCACATCCCTCTCCCGCTCCTGCCAACTCTGTCTCCTTCCATTCAAAGTCAAACTTTGTAAAAACACTGTCTATAACAGCTTTCTCTAACTCCTGAATTCCCATCCACTTGTCCACTCACAGCTGACTTCCACAACTGACCCACCCACCTACAAAGACACTCCTCTCACTAAAGTCACCAGTGACCACTTTGTTGCTAAATACAAAAATATTGTTAAATCCATGTCCTTCACAATCAGCAGCACACAGTTGAACCTGTAACATGGTTAACCACTCTTTCCTTCTTAAAACACTCTACTTTTGGCTGCCATGAAACTATACTATTCTGGTTTTCTCCTACAATTTTGTCCTCCCCTTTCAAAACTATTAGCCATCTCTTTCACACTCTATCCAATTTTTTAACGTTAGAGTCCCTCAGGTGCCTGATCCTTGGACCTCTTCTCTACTTTTTCTCTCTAAGTGATCTCATTCATTCCCATGACTTCAATTAAGATTGACACTATTATGACTTCCAAATTTAGAGTTTCAACTCAAACCTGTATTTCAGCTCACTATCAATGTATCCAGTGAGATACTGAATATATCCTCCTCAATTCAACATGTTCAAAATCGAACCCAGGATCTTCCCCTCCAAATTGTTCCTTTTAAGGTAGTATATTCAAAATAATTACATAAGTATCTATTTATTTATTACAATAGAAACATATTCACCATAGATTAAGTGGGAAAAGGAAATGATAAAGCATTGTATATCATTGGTTCCCATTACTGCAAGATAAAAAAATATATCTGTATACTGTCCGGCCAGTGTGGCTCAGTGGTTGAGCATCGACCCATGCATCAAGAGGTCACCAGTTCGATTCCCGGTCAGGGCATATGCCCAGGTTGTGGGCTGGATCCCCAGTAGGAACATGCAGGAGGCAGCCGATAGATGTTCTCTTTCATCAATGTTTCTGACTCTCTCCCTCTACCTTCCTCTCTCTAAAAATCAATAAAGAAAAAAATATATATATCGGTAGAGAGAGAGAAAGATGCCTAGAAAAAAATCTGATAGGATATACATCAAAATGTTAAGCAACAATGTCTGGCTGGTAGGATCACACGTGATTTTTTTTTTCCTTAATCCTCACCTGAGGACATTTTTTGCATTTATCTTCAGATACAGCAGAAGGGAGAGAGGGAGGAAGAGAGGAGAGAAACATCGATGTGAGAGAGACACACCAAGTGGCTGCCACCCACATGACCCCAACCGGGGCCGGGGACAAACTGCAACCGAGGTACATGCCCTTAGCAGGAACCGAATCTGAGACCCTCTGGTCTGTGGGCCGACACTCTAACTGCTGAGGCCAAACCAGCCAGGGCAGGCGATTTTTATTTTCTTCAACTTCTTAAGCTGCTTTGTGTGTGTGTGTGTGCGCGTGTATTTATTTTCCATATTCTCTAAAATGTATGTTTTTCACTTTTATAATCAGGCATTCTTAGGTACTTCTTTTTAAATCTCCTGATAGGATGCAGTATAAAGTTCAGAGCATCAGTTATGAAGTTTTCTTGTTAAAACTGTTTAACTTAAATCTAGTCAAGCTTTAGATCTAACTTTCAGTTTGTTGGAAGGAGATAGAAAAACACGTTACACAATACCATGAGAAAATAATCAGACAAATCAAGAAGAGAGGACATTCTATAAGACGAATGGTATCTATCGCCTAACAAAAAAGTCACTGTTATAGGGAAAAAAAAGTGGTAGAATTGTTCTAGATTAAAGGTGACATAATAGCCCTGGCCGGTTTGGCTCAGCGGTTAGAGCGTTGACCTGCGGTCCAGAGAGACCCGGGTTCGGTTCCCGCTAAGGGCACGTACTTCGGTTGCAGTTTGACCCCGGCTCTGGTTGGTCGTGCGGGTGGCAGCCACTCGATGTGTCCCTTTCACGTCGATGTTTCTCTCTCTCTCTCACTCTCACTCTATCTGAACAAAAAAGAAAAAAAAAAAAAAATGTCCTCAGGTGAGGATAAAAAAAATAATAAAGGTGACATAATAGTGAAATACAAAGTGTAAACCTTCGTTGGCTCTTGATTATAAACAGTACGCACAAAAGACATTTTGGGGGCAATTGCGAAAGTGGATACGGTATTCAATGATATTGGGGCATTATTATTAACTTTCTTGAGTGAGATAATGGTTTTGTATCTCTTAAACAAAATGTAGAGAATGTCCTTATGCCCTGGCCGGTTTGGCTCAGCGGTTGGAGCGTCCGCCTGCGGTCCAGAGAGACCCGGGTTCGGTTCCCGCTAAGGGCATGTACCTCGGTTGCAGTTTGTCCCCGGCCCTGGTTGGTCGTGCGGGTGGCAGCCACTCGATGTGTCCCTTTCACATCGATGTTTCCCTCTCTCTTCCTCTCTCTCCCTCCCACTCTGTCTGTACAAAAAATGGAGAATGTCCTTATTTCTAGAAATGCATGCAGAAGTATTTAAAGGTGAAGTATCATGATGTCTGATAGAGAAAGAAAAATGTTAATAACAGTTAAATCTAAGTGGTGGGTATATAAGTGTTCATTGTAGTTTTTTGTTTTTTTTTATCCTCACCCGAGGACACTTTTGCATTCATCTTCAGATAGAGTGGGAGAGAGAGAGGGGAGGAAGACAGAGAGAGAAACATCGATGTGAGAGAGACACATCGACTGGCTGCCACCCACATGACCCCAACCGAGGCCAGGGACAAACTGCAACTGAGGTATGTGCCCTTAGTGGGAACCGAACCCGGGTCTCTCTGGTCCTCGGGCTGACGCTCTAACCACTGAGCCAAACTGGCCAGGGCCATTGTAGTATTCTTGAGCAAAAACATTTCTTACAAGATGGTAAGCTTCCAAATGGCATGGACTGTATCTTCTTAATTTTATATCCCTAGTACCTAAAGCACATCCTGGTACAATAAATGTTTGTTGAGAGAGTGAATAATAAAAAGAAATCCATATTTTGAGATGCTAGGCTTTGGGGCTAAAAGAAATGATGATTCTCTACACATTGCAGCCATCTTCTGAAATAAGTAACAGAGAGAAAACCTCTTATACATTGCCTGGCACATATTAGGTACCCAATAAATGTCAGTTCCCTTCTTTACTTCCATTCCTTTGCTCTGATAGTCTTTAGAAAAATGACAGATGTCATTAAAATACAACTGCTTTGAAAGTTCTCACATACTAGACAAAGCAAAAATGGTAAGTAATTAGGTTGAAACAGATTAAAACTTACTGAGTTAATCAGATTGAATGGACATTCATTACGAAATACTGTAAGAAAAGCCCTGGCCTGGTAGTTGATGGACATGAAAAACAGGTGGCTTTGGCTGGTTTGGTTCAGTGTTTAGAGCACTGGCCTGCAGACTGAGGGATTGAGGGTTCAGTTCCCGATTGGGGGCATGTACCTGGGTTGCAGGTTTGATCCCAGACTCTGGTCAGGGTCATACAGGAGGCAACCAACCAACGTGTCTCTTTCACATCAATGTTTATCTCTCTTTCTTTCCCTTCCTCCCTGCCACTCTATCTAAAAATCAGTGGAAAAGTATCCTCAGGTGAGGATTAACCACCACAACAATAAAAAGCCTGGACTAGTAGCACCAATAATAAAAATAATAATAAAAACATCTAACTTGTTTTAGCACTTTATCTGTTTTATCTCATTGAATCTTCAAATAATTCACTGTAGTTAGTAATATAATTATCCCTATTTAAAAATTTTTATTTATTGATTGATTTGAGAGCGAGAGAGTAAGGGAAAGGGAGAGAGAGAAATATCGATTTGTTTTTCCACTTATTTGTGCATTCATTGGTTGACTCCTTTATGTGCCCTGACCAGGGATCAAACCTGAAACCATGGTGCATCAGGATGATGCTCCAACCAAATGAGCTACTGGCCAGGGCCTAATTATCCCCATTTTTATTTTATTTATTTTTTATTTTTTTATTTTTTATCCTCACCCGAGGACATTTTTGCATTTTTTGTTCAGACAGAGTGGGAGGGAGAGAGAGGAAGAGAGAGAGAGAGAAACATCGATGTGAAGGGACACATCGAGTGGCTGCCTCTCGCACGACCCAACCAGGGCCGGGGACAAACTGCAACCGAGGTACATGCCCTTAGCGGGAACCGAACCCAGGTCTCTCTGGACCGCAGGCCGATGCTCTAACCGCTGAGCAAAACCGGCCAGGGCTAATTATCCCCATTTTTAAAAAGTGAGGAATCCAAGCCCTGGCCGGTTTGGCTCAGCGGTTAGAGCGTCGGCCTGCGGTCCAGAGAGACCTGGGTTCGGTTCCCGCTAAGGGCATGTACCTCGGTTGCAGTTTGTCCCCGGCCCTGGTTGGGTCGTGCGAGAGGCAGCCACTCGATGTGTCCCTTCACATCGATGTTTCTCTCTCTCTTCCTCTATCTCCCTCCCACTCTATCTGAACAAAAAATGGAAGAATGTCCTCGGGTGAGGATCAAAAAGAAGAAAGTGAAGAACCCAAGCCCCAGGGAGGTAGCGAAAGGTCACACAATAAGTATGTGGTAGAGCCGGAATCCAAACAAACTGCAGAGCTTTTGCTCCTAACCACTACTTTATGTTCTCTCCCAATGTCCTATTCCATGTCAGGGCTAGGAAGTGGTCCCAGCCACTCTTTTCAAAGATATGTTAGTCATCCTTCTAGACAAAATAATTACAGAATGTAGAGAGTTACTTAAAGCAGGCAGCCTTCCAGGGACAAAATTCTTACCTACAGAACAGATGGGATTCTTTCCTGAAGTTTTGGACCTAAAAGGAAGGAAAGAGTATGTTGAATACAATTAGATATCCACTATTTATTTACACAGTATACTCCTCATTAAGGATAAATTTATCCTCATTAAGGATAAATCAATGCTAGATATTTCTTTATTCCCTCCTTCCTTCCTTTCCTCAAATATTATTAAGTACCTACTATATGCCAGACAATGTGTTAGGTCTTGAGGATATAAAAGTAAGTAAATGTCTCTATCTATGGTCTAGTTGGAAGAGAGACACTGTATGTGAACAAATGCGAACCACATTATAGTACTGATCCAGGACAAAAATATGTACAAGATTTGGTGGAACACAAAGGAAAAGTATGATAATTTCCACCAGGGAAGTGAAACCATTTGAGCTGAGCTTTAAGTGAACTGTTCTGCCCTGGCTGCTTTGGCTCAGCAGTTAGAGTATGAGCCCTCGGACCAAAGAGTCATGGGTTCAATTTGGTTCATGGGCACCTACCTCAGTTGGGGTTCATTCCTGGCCCTGGTCAGGGTCGTGCAGGAGGCAATCAATGGATGTGTCTCTCTCACATTGATATCTCTCCCTCTCTCTCTTTTTCTTTCTCTCTCTCTCTCTCTCTCTCTCTCCCTCTCCCCTTCTTTCCCTCCCACTTTATCTGAAGCTAAATGGAAACATATCCTCAGGTGAGAAATTCATGGGAAGAGGTGAAACTGAGGCAAGAGAATCAGGGAGGTGGTTCTTGCAATAGCATTGCATTATTAGAACATGCTTGGGGAAGATGGAGATGAAGGGACAGCAATGAGAGCCAGACTGGATACAGAAGCCAGAGAACATGAAGGAGAATAAAATGGTTCTGTTTGGCCCTGGCCGGATGGCTCAGTTGGTTGGAGTTTTGTTCCATACACCAAAAGGTAGTGGGTTTGATTCCTGGTCAGGGCACATACTCAGCTTATGGATTTGATCCCTGGTCAGGGTGTGAGCAGGAGACAACCAATTGATGTTTCTCTTTCACATCGATGTTCTCTCTCTCTCTCAAATCAATAAAAACATAAATAATTTAAAATGGTTCTAAACAGACTAAGTAATCAGAGTATTTTAGTTCACCATCCTGCAAAGCTTTGACACTGAACTGTGGGACAAGTTACAGACAAGCAGATCCGTGATTAACTGCTGAATCCACCATTTCCAAACTGTGACCTTAGGCAACTTATTTTGTAGCTCTGTAACTCCATTATCTCACCTTTAAATGCAGATAATAATAGTATAATTTCATGGGACTGAAAAATCTATCTTAAACTCTCTGAGCCAGTTTCCTCTTTTTTATTTTTTTATTATTGATTTCAGAGAGAGAGATAAATGGGGTGGGGGGAGAGAGAAAGAACATCCATTTGTTCCCACCCATTCATGCATTTTTGGGTAAATTCTTGTATATGCCCTGACCAGGGATCAACCCGCAACCTTGGCATTATCAGGATGACGCTCTAACCAACTGAGCTACCCAGCCGGGGCCAATTACCTCTTTTGTAAAATGACAATATTTATATTTTTCCTGTAGTGTTTTTTTTTTTAAATCTTCACCCGAGGATATTTTTACATTTTATCTTCAGACAGAGTGGGAGGGAGAGAGAGAGAGAGACAGAAACATTGATATTAGAGAGACACATCGATTGGTTGCCACCTGTACGACCCCAACTGGGGCCAGGGACAAACTGCAACTGAGGTCCCTGCCCTTGCCCAGAATTGAACCTGGTACTCTTTGGTCCCCACGCCGACACTCTAACCATTGAGCAAAACTGGCCAGGGCTGTCCTGTAATGTTTTTGTTAATATTAGAGAGAACATATAAAATGCCTAGCATGGTGCCATAGTAAGCACATATTGAATAGTTGACTGATTAATGGAAAAATAGATTAAGAGGAAAAGGCTAAGCCAGGCTGGTGTGGCTCAGTGGTTGAGCGTCGACCCATGCACTAAGAGGTCACCTATTCGATTCCCGGTCAGGGCACATGCCCAGGTTGTGGGCTAAATCCCCAGTGGGGAGCATGCAGGAGGCCGCGAATCAATGTTTTCTCTCATTGATGTTTCTATCTCTCTCTCCCTCTCCATTCTTCTCTCTCTAAAACCAATAAAGGAAAAAAAAAAAGTAGAAAAGGCTTCAATAAATGTAAAGAATTAAATAAATCATCCTGAGCCAAACTGGCTCATGTGGTCAGGTAGAGATTCAATTCAGTGTTTTATTTTATGTGGCTGCCACACATTAAATATTTAGTGGATATCTGCTGAACAGAGAAATAAATAAACTACCAGATGTTCTTCATTACTATAGAGAGAAAAAATAATGGGGAGGTAGCATACTCTATATGCATAACACTTGGGTTTAAATCCTAACTCCAGCCCTGGCCGGTTTGGCTCAGCAGTTAGAGCGTCGGCCTGCAGTCCAGAGAGACCCGGGTTCGGTTCCCACTAAGGGCATGTACCTCAGTTGAAGTTTGTCCCCGGCCCTGGTTGGGTTGTGCGGGTGGCAACCACTCGATGTGTCCCTTTCACGTCGATGTTTCTCTCTCTCCCTCCCACTCTATCTGAACAAAAAAATGTCCTCAGGTGAGGATAAAAAATAAATAAATAAATAAATCCTAACTCCAACTCTTATTAGCTATGTCATCCTAGAGCAGTCGATTTATCATTCTGAACCTCAGTTATTTATGTATAAAATTGAGATAATATCACCTGTTTCACCAGATCATTATGAAGAGCTATTAATTCATTACACAAATATTTATTAGATGCCTGCTATGTGTCAGATACCATTCTAGGCCCTAAGGATATAGTAGTAAACAAAACTAGCAAGTCTTTATCCATACGATGATTACATTTTAGTGGGCAGGGTGAGGAAGACAGATAATTTAAACATATATACACGTACATATATATAAAATGTGTCAGGTGGTGATACCTGCTATGGAAAATAAGGTAAGGGGATAGAGATTGATTGGGGGGATAGTCAGGGAAGTCCTCTCTGATGACATAACATTTGGGCACAAACCTGAGTAAAGTCAGAAGGTAAACCATATGTCTATCTGAGGAGAGAATGTGCAAAGATCCTTAGGTGGGAGAGTACTTAGATCATCAAGGAATAGAAAGGGAGCCACTGTGGCTAAAGCTGAGTAAGTAGTAGTATACAATGAGGGAAAAGATTATATAAAGACTTGTAAAGTCATGGTAGGATTGTAGATCTTATTTTGATTAAGATGGGAAAGTTCTGATAGAGAAGTGACATGAGCTAACTTGATTTTCAAAGAATCACTCTGATTTTAGTATGAAGGATAGAAGACAAAAGTGAAGGCAGAGAGACCAGTTAGAAGGCCTGATAATTGTAGTTAAGAAGATAAGGAGCTAGTCCCTAGTAGTATAGCAAAACAGAAAGTATGAAACCTGAAACTGGAGGTGAGAAAATGGTTTAATTCTGTAATATTTCAAAAGTTGAGCCAACAAGATTTGTTAAAGAATTGGATGTAGAGTGAGGGAAATAACAATGTCAAGAATGACTCCAAGGGTTTTGGCCTTAGCAACTAAATCAATGGAGTCGTCATTCACTGAGAATGGGTGAAGAGTAAGATGGCAGGGGAATTCATGCTTGAGATGCTTAGCAGACATGCAAATGGAGATGATGAAAGAAAAATGCTGTGTGAACTACCTATCAGAATGCAAATATTAACTATATTTAACTACTGTTATTAATATCCTTACCTTAAAAGGGGAAAGGCTTTCTTAAAAATGATATCGTTCTTCAAACACAGCACCTACAGCAAAACAACCACGTTAGGACAATCTTAAGCACTGATAAACTTCCAAGCATCTTTTCATAAAGAGGCTAGAAACTCATAGTACACAAACTAAAAGGACCAAAAAGCTCTTGTCTAGTAAACATGCAGGCAAATCAAGGTCATCTTTTTTTTCTTATTCTACCCACTACAGAAAATGCTCAAAAAAAACAGAAGACCCTCTTTCCAAGCTGCCTTTTTTAAAAAAGAACTTATTTCTGCTTTCTAATTTGATCTATTTTTTCTAATATCAGTCAACAACTATTATGCTTTTGCCAAGCACAGGCATCATACGATATACTTTCTTAACTTCTTCCCTAATTCTCAAAACACTGCAAAGCAATTTAACAGGTGAGGCAGCTAAGGCCCACTGAAGTTATAGTCCAATAAATTATGGCTAATAAGCAGCTAAAAGGACTGTCTCACTCTAAAGGCTATGTCTCTATTACAACACACTATCCTTCTCAATACTAATAATAATGATACCAACATCAACAAAACAATAATTATGAGAGGAGGCTGTAGCAATGGAAGCTTCTCTCCCTGAGGTTCCTCCTCCCCAGTTATTTCTATCTCAGTCTGTCCTACTGGGCACCTACTCAAAAGATCACCAGTACAGCTTTACAAAGGGAGTAACAGAATAAGTCTTTTTTTTTTTTGGTACGTGCCCTTAGTGGGAACCAAACCCAGGACTCTCTGGTCCACAGGCCAACACTCCAACCGCTAAGCCAAACTGGTCAGGGTGAATAAGTCTTTTTATAAAGTAACTAGTTAATAAATACTAAATGTCCTTAAGGTCCCATAATTTAAGGAGAAAATCCTATCCACTGTGGGTAACAATTTCAATTCCTTCAATATATGTTAAAAGCCTTTTATAGCCTGGCTGGTTTGGCTCAGCGATCAGAACACTGGCCCGCAGACCATAGGGTATTGGGTTCGATTCCTGGTCAAGGGCACGTGCCTGGGTTGCAGCTTGGATCCCCGGCCCTGGTCGAAGTTGTGCGGGAGGCAACCAGTTGATGTGTCTCTCTCACATTGATGTTTCTCTCTCTCTCTCTCCCTCCTTCCTTCCACTCTATCTTAAAATCAATGGAAAGGCATCCTTTGGTGAGGATTAATGAAAATAAAGAAAGAAAGAAATAAGTAAATAAGTAAATAAATGAAAGCCTTTTATGGCTCTGGCTTGGCTCAGCGGTTAGAGGGTCAGCCCTTGGACCAAAGGGTCGAGGGTTCAATTCCCAGTCAAGGGCAAGTAACCACATTATTTTATTTTATTTTTTTTATCCTCACCCGAGGACATTTTTCCTTTTTTTTTTGTTCAGGTAGAGTGGGAGGGAGAGAGAGGAACAGAGAGAGAGAGAAACATCGACGTGAAAGGAACACATCAAGTGGCTGCCACCCGCACAACCGACCAGGGCCGGGGACAAACTGCAACCGAGGTACGTGCCCTTAGCGGGAACCGAACCCGGGTCTCTCAGGACCGCAGGCCGATGCTCTATCCGCTGAACCAAACCGGCCAGGGCCACATTATTTTTTTTAGAGAGAGAGAGATAGAAACATGGATGTGAGAGAGAAACATTAATTGGCTGCCCCCTGCATGCCCCCCCACCCCACACACACACACTGGGAATCAAGCCTGAAATCTGGGCATATGCCCTGACTGGAAACCAAACCAGGACTTCTCAGTCCATGGGACAATGCTCAATCCACTGAGCTGCACTGGCCGGGCAAACACCCACAATTTTTTTTTAGTACCTTACATGTGTCTAAATCATAATTCCCTTATAGATTAAATATGATTATCCCACTTGCAGTTTAGGAAACTGAGATTAAGTAATTTACCCAAAGCCAAACATCTACTATCAGAACTAGCATAGGATCTTAGGTTTCTCTGACTTCAAAGCAAATAATTTTCTATTTTTTCACCTTCTTTCACATAAATGAATGTGTTGGTTGCTTAGAAAATTACCAAATTTAGGAATTCCCAGAGAATGTGAGGTCATGAAGGTTGGGAAGGATATGAATAGATGGAAGGGAGGGCAAAGTACATAGACAATCCTAAAAATCACAATTAAATCAGATACTTAAAGACTTTGTAAAGTATGTGTGCAAAATGCTTCATCTAACATAAAAGATAGAGAGCAGGCAACCGTGAGCCCCAGGAGACAGGAACTCCAGCTGGCTTCCACACCACTAGCCACCATACTGTGAACCTCAAGAAGGAAAATAACTGCAAAGGACTCCTCATAGTTAACTGGCTCCCAATTCCTAACCGGAGTCTATCATCCATTTGCCAACAGAGGCCTCATGCCCTCATCATCTCAGGGAAAAGGCATAGACTGAGTGCAGCTTTCTGCACTGTGTTCCTGGCTTCTGAATCAACCCTTATAGAGGAGTTCCTAGTACTGTATTTTGACCAATGGACTGAGACGTGCTTCATCTGATCAGAACTGCATAACTACATCCTCATTTGCATATTTACTGACAAATCAGAGCAGCCCCATAACAGCCAATCAAGAATATGGGATTCTGACCAACCAAGACAGTGCTATTTGCACCAATCAGAATGTTCAAATTTGGATTCCTCATTTGCATAAAAATGGACCCATCAAGGATCAGAGCAGGGGCTTTATATAAGTGGGCCTCTCCTTTGTATTCAAGAGGTCACTTTCAGTTTCCATCAGATGCTGTTTCCCAGGTTTGCAAAACTGTTCATGTGAATAAAGTTTCTACCTCTTCACTATACCCCAAACTGGGGATTCCTGTTGGCATTGGATTGGTGGCAGCAACCTTTTGTCAACAATACCATGGCTAGTACTTCCCATCTCTGGGAGTTAGAGCAGATGACTCTTAGGTTCCTCCAGGCACAAACAGAACAGAAATTCCATGAATAGAATATATTCTTTTTGTTGTTGTTAATCCCATCCGAGGATATATTTCCATTGATTTTTAGAAAGAGTGGGAGAAAGAGGAGAGAGAAACACTGATGTGAGAGAGACACATCAATTGGTTGCCTCCCACACAACCTTGACAGTGGACTTGCGAGGTTCGAACCTGCAACCCAGGCACATGCCCTTGACCAGGAATCAAACCAGGGACTCTTTGGTCCAGGGTCTGATGCTCTAACCGCTGAGCAAAAACTGGCTAGGGCCAGAATATATTCTTAAATGGGTCACTTCATCCAGAGCAGGTATTGGATGGGAAGAAAGATCTAGATGAGACTGATTTTTCCTCACTTTAATTGTTTAGATTTCTGAGTCTCTACAATAGCAAAGGATGTAATTATCTACAAGCCAGGCTTAAAGGTTGACACTTTCTGGAAGACATTCAAACTGTGGTGTGAACACTCCCTTTTCAGCTCTGGCAAATGTGCTTCCTCTCCCTGAAATGCTCGGCATTATTTATCAGGAACAAAGTAATCTATTTTGGGACTGCATCCATAAATACCCCCTCCTCCTAGTCAGCAAATGAAGAGCAGCTCCAGCTCTGGAGCAAATGGAAGAGGAGGACAGTCACGCTAGTGAATGAATGAATGAGGACACAGCTGCTGCAGTGGGTTACAAAAATACTTGTCTCAGGAGCTTGGGAGACAAGAACTGGGAAAGGATTTCACAGCTACCAAAGAAGCAAAATCATGGGACAAAACCTATAATTCGTGAGTACCTTCAGACAATAGAGCCCCAGAGTGGGTGGTGCCAGCAGTGGGTCAGGGGCCCATAAGGCAAGAAACTGAGAGCTGTTTTATGAAGATTAACAGAATGTATGTATATATTAACAAATCTTACTTAAAATAGCATTTTCGTTATTACTTATTGAGTACATCCTTTGTGCTAAGCACTTTATACATACCATTTCAATTAAACTTTATACCAATCCTCTGATAGAGGTATTATTGAGATCATTGTCTGTTTTATAGAGGAAAATACAGAGGCTCAGGTCAATTGCCCAAAGTTACAGGCTTGGTAAGAGGTGCCAAGAATTCAAACTCAAGTCTGACTGAATCCCAAGCCATATTTTCCATTCTGCCACATTTACCTCTCAAAAGAGTAATACTAATTCATATTAGTGAAATTAATATGCTAATAATAGCCTAAATAACCCTACTCTTTGTTGAGCACCTGCTATATGCCAAACATCGTTTCCTTTAATGCTCACAACCATTCTGAGGTAGGTATTTTTACTCCCATTTTAATGTGAGGAAACCAAAGCTCAGAAAGGTGAATTAATATGCTTAATGCACATAGCTAGTAGCCGTGTTCTAGTTGATCTTTTCCTAAGTTCTTTCAAAACTGCTTTTGTTTATAGTTTCCCTTTAGCCATTCTATTCCAAGTCTGTCTTTGCACTGAATCTTTATGGCAATTAGGAGCACAGGTTACAGATTCACAGAGACCTGGGTTTGAATATCAGCACTTCCATTTTAAGAGCTGTATGATCTTTGGCAAGTCACTTAAGGAATACATGGCCTCAGATACTGTATGACTTCATTTATATAAAATGACCAGAACAGACAAATCCATAGAGACAGAAAGTAGAGTAGTGATTCCCAGGGGGTGTACAGAGGGGTTGGAGAATGATAAGTGACTTGCTATGGGTACAGAGTTTCTTTTTGGAGTGACAAAATGGTTTGGAATTAGATAGTAGTGATAGCTGCACAACTTTGTGAATATGCTAAAAATCAATGAATTGTCCACTTTTATGTTTTAGGGTTTTTTGCATTTTATCCTCAGATAGAGCGGAAGGGAGAGAGAGATGAAGAGAGAGAAACATCGACATGAGAGAGACACATCGACTGGTTGCCACCCTCACAACCCCAACCGGGGCCAGAGACAAACCCCAACCGAGGTACGTGCCCTTAGCAGGAACCGAACCCAGGCCTCTCTGGTCCATGGGCTGACACTCTAACCCCTGAGCCAAACTGGCCAGGGCTGAATTGTCAACTTTTAAAGGGTGATGGCCGGCCGGTGTGGCCCAGTGGATT